AAACAATTGACCAAGTATCTGCGCTGTTTTACAGTAATGGTAACCGTTTATGAGAGAAACCGATGCGATGGAACTTTTCCTTAAAAAATCCTAGAATTCGTTTCGTTTCTTCATAAGAATGTATATTTCTACCCGTCCTTTTTTTTACTACTTCCAGCATACCTTGTGATAATGATTTATATAGTTTTTAAATTGTGTTTTGTTTCAAACTATTCTACGTATTCTCTGTACGCCTTTTTAATTCTTCTATGTTCCCGTTACCTTTCCTGCTAGGGGTCAGCTTACAAGGTTTCCCTGAACATGAAGTTCGGTAATGACGTATAACATTATATTTTGTAACCTCGATGTTGCTGAATGTTCTTTTCACAGTACCATTATGCATCGAAGAAATATCGTAGATTTACTGCATTTTCTTAGCCATAAATTGAAGAAATACACCCTTAAAAAGTGAACACATTTTCGCAATAAGCAGACTACAGACTTTATGCATCTACGTCGAACATGGGTTAGTGCAATACAGGGCAATGAAGACATCAGAGGGATCTGAGAATGTTACATTATTTTAAAGTCATTAAAATCATTAAAAGAAGAAATACGTTTGTGCTTGTATCCTGTTTTTTTTACCAATGTGAAGGAGGAATGTTTTATATAATTTGAAGGAGAACGAATGTACCAAATGTTTTGTCCAGTTGTTGTTAATATTCCCTGATGTAAAAACGTCCGTTCTGTTATCGATTTCCTGTCTACATTTTGGCGCACTTTATTACATTAAATATCATTCATAAAACTCTGTACTTATTCAATCTTTTCATGTATAATTAAGGGAAGAAATACTCATTATGAAATACCGCCCAATTGTGATCCCTTCTCGAAGCCGTTGCACAAACAATGCAAAATAAAATAGCTAGAGCATATGGAAGTGGATGGAAAAATTTTACTCATATTCTTGGACATTTTTCTTCATAAATTTACTCACGCAAATACTGTTACGTGACAATCGCCTGTAACAAAATGTTTACACGAATAGCGGTGTTTTTAAGCAAGAAACGTCTCGATTTATAGAACAGTGGTATACCTGTTTCATATTCAATATTCCCATTTTGGAACAGGCAGTACAAAACGATGTTCCACCATAGGTTATGCCTTCATAATGAGCCTATCATAGGCTCGAACTTTACTATTTTAGATGTATTATTCTTTATTCCCATTAACACGTTCCGTGCCAAGCCATTTTTGCCTAACTTGTCGTTCAGGCCATTTGATGTTTTGGCTAAAGATTGATACATTATCACATAATATTTCATTATATCATCAGTAGATAAGTAGTGATTGCCCAAATCAACCGTTTTTATGCAGCTCTTGCTTTAAAAAAGTCAAACATTGTAATTAATAGTTATTGTGTATATAACGATTAAACAAATTTATGTGCTTTGTTCTATACAGCATTTTTTTACCTCTCATCCTTTTGGTGGAAATATATTTTATACAATCAAATTTGTCACAAAATGTATGTCTTCAGCGCTTTAAATAAATATGTCCGCGTGTACCATTTATGGTACACGTGGCCTGACGGTCAAGTTTAACGTGTACCATTTATGGTACACGTGGCACGGAACGTGTTAAATATATATTTGAAAGTTCATGACGTTATCTGGAAACATCAACGTATCGAACATATTATTGTCGAAATACTCGACAATAATACTTTTCAGTTGTAATCAAATCGATGATAATCTTATACCCCCTGAAAAGCGTTCCATAATAGGTGCTTTTATTTTAACCCTCGTCGTACCGTACCACGTCCGGGTTTTTTCGGACCCAGAGCTCTCGGGGTCCGACTTGACCGTTTGATATTTTATGCCATCTGTCGTTTGTTTAAAAAGAAGTACAGTAAGACAATAGCAATAATAATAGCTTTTTTTGGTTTTTATAGTGGGGGAAAATCTTCAATAAGATTTAGGGTAGTAATAATAATAGTAATAATAACAATAATATGATGATAATAACAATAAAAAATTTCAGTTCAAAATATTCGCATGCATAAAGTCCCAATCATCGGTATTTGTGTGAACACCCCCAACCGCCGGTACTGCGAGGGTTAGCGCGCAAAAAATTTCTATTTCACGTAATGATTCGCAATCTAACAAGAAGAAATCACAGTCTGATATCGAAGTCTCATTGTTAGATTATTGAAACCCATGAGTATTTGGAGCTCACCTGTATATTAGCTTCCGTCGGACGCTTCTTTTAAAGAAGCCGCTGCACCCATTGCAAGCCAGGATACCGTAGTGTTTCCCGGAGCTCGTGTCGTCGCAAACCACGCATGTCAAACCAAGACTACGGGGTGGTTTGCTGCCGTGTTGCGGTCGCTGTTGCTGCTGTTGTTGCTGCTGTTGCTGGTGCTGTTGCTGCTGCTGCACTTGTCCCAGTAAATGAGGGTGGCCATTCCCGAGAGCGGTTAAATACGGTGACCTCGCCAGTGGGAAATCCGTTGGTATCCCTCTGCAGAGTGGTACCGAACACTCCTGAACGGACCTCGAGGCATAAGGATCGTGACTCGAGGTCGATCCTGTCGCCCCTATAGGACTGTATCGTTCTGGTAATCCCGGGGAGATTACGCTGCTCTCTCCCGAGTCTAGAAGCAAATGGTTTTTCTGTAAGCTTTCTCTGCTCGACACATTCGTCTGAACGAGTCGCAGACAAATTTTCCCGAACCACGTTTTATCGCACGAAAACGTTTTTATCACTTATTCAACGGGTAAACTTGTCTTATTTTTTCAATAACAACATCAAATGGTCGAATTCGACTCGTGTTGTCGAGAGAAGAGGACGAACTAATTGCAAATTATTTTGCGAACTAATTGCAAGTCATTTTCTCGTTTTGTTTAAGGCAGTAGACATTCAGACTCGTGGAATATTTTTCGATGATAAATATGTGCTTTCTAAATGTTTAATAATATCCCTGAGGTTACGAATATATCAATGAATAATCCGATATTTTCTTAACACTGAAACCACCGAACTCTAAACGCAACAAATGTATAATGTTTCGTTGCAACGGCTGAGCTAAATTTATTCAAGCTTCCTACGATTTGTATTAAAATATAAAATTGATTAAAAAAAGATTTATTGAGAGAAAAGGTTTTCACAGGAACATCATTATAATTTTAATAACCATTAAAGAAAAATTCAGATACCAGTCATTTCAGTTCTATTGTTAAATGAAATATTAATATGACTAAAAAATTTTCGAGTTTAGAAAGTTCTGCACCAAAGAGTGGAATATATAAGTAGTGTTCGCTTTCAATTTTACATTAAACATTAGTCTTACGAACTGCAGCATTATGATAATAAGAAACGTTAATTACGTACATCTGTGATTTTTTCGCAATTTTGGAATCAATGACAAATGACAGAAGTTTTCGGCCGGATATTTTGCTCGAATCTATTTCATCCATAATTTGAAAGGAATTGGTTCGGACGTAAATTATTTTCCTAGAGAATTCCGTTGCTTTGTGCGATAGGAAGATTTATTTTCTTTTTATCATTTTCCGGTGACCGGAGTATAATATTTCCGCGATAGAATTTGATTTATCGTTTTCGATCAGCTGGCGAGTCTCAATCCGTTAATCCGAGGAATCTTTCCCGCGCATTCGTATGGCCAATCCCGAAGCGTATATAGCACATAGCACAATCTCTATTCTTGATTGATCCCCATTGGGCGGAGCCAGTGGACACAACGATCGCGCATAAAATAATTACACGCTCACAGGGAACGTTATGGATTACCATGGAGAATTTACCAGTCGGTTGGCCAGTGTTTGTGGGATTTGTGACGGATCCACAATCACCTTCAATATCCTCTGATTATTTATCGGTGAATATTGGCAAAAGACGATTACTTGATGCAGATATAGATATCTATATTTTTGAAGATGTTTGCGTATAAGTAATAAAAGACATTGTTATTTAGCATATTACAAAGAGAAAATTTGACTATTAATTACTTAATTTAATTTACAGAAAGTTCAACTATTAAAATAATGTTTAAAAATTGCATTTATGTTATTATACATGGAAATATCTTAGGGACAAAATATTCACAGAAATTGATCTATTAATCAGTTCAATTGATTTATAGAAAGTTGAAACTATTGAAATAATAGTTAAAATTGCATCGATTTTATTATGCATATGTGAATATATAAAATAATAGACGTTTACAGAAAAATGAGGTATTTAATTAGATGAAGTCTGAAATTATATTGATGTCATTGGACAATTTAACAAATTTTAATAAGTTGCATACATTAAAAAAAACTACGAAGTAATTTGATATCCAAGATAAATATAAATATAAATGAAAGTGGAGTCCAGTGTATTGTAAATAGAAGTTTATTTCGGGGAAAGGGAAAATACGAATGATACATATTTTTTGGAGGTACCACAGTTCGAGTTACTAGCTTTCCGTTCCTAAGGGACGAGCGATTTCTTTTCCGCATCCCTCAAGGCTTACCGGCTGAATCGCGAGGGCAAACAGTATTTACATTGAGAAATGAGTTTGTAAAAACCACAGAAAGTAAAAGTGAGCCAGCATAAATATTTATGCCACTCGGAACGAGAACGAAAGGAGGAGAAAGGTTGGAAGATTCCATCTTGGGAATACCGGATGTGGTTCTTGTTTCATTATCTTGCTTAATTGGAGGATTTACTTTCGATATTTCACGTCGATGTATTAACTGTCTTCGGAGCCTTTATTGAATCGCAGAAGAATTTTACTCGGATCTTCGTCAATCGTAACTCAATTTACAATTTCAGAAGCATAATTAAAATTTTGCATGAAATTTAGAATGAAATTATTTAGAAGGAACTCTTTCAAGAAATTGT